CCGGGCGTGACCCCCAGGGTTGGGGCGCGAAGGCCCTAGCGGGCAGCCCTGGGTGGTCCGGTGGAGGCGTGGGCTGGACTGGGCCGCCGCTCCTGGGTAGCTGGAGAGGAGGAGGAAAGAGGGTAGGGTGGGGCAGGGTCGGAGAGGGGACATTTCCCCCGGGGCCAGCACCGATCCTCGGCTCTGAGGTCGTCCCCACTAGCTGGCCTCAGGCCGGGCAGTCCCTGAGGGCGGCTCGGGTTCTTTGGCCAAAGGCGCAGGAGGAGACAGATCCGCCACCCCGACCTGCGTGGTCCGTTCCTAGGGCTGCTGGTGCAGGAGCTTCAAGATTATGGCCTGCAAGACCCAACTGACCTTATACAAAGTTGCCTGGTTTCAGACCAGCAGTGACAGGCTCCCTGCTCCCCACCAGAAGAGGTTGATCTGTTACTACCGGAAAAGTCCAAAGGAAAGCCCACAGACCTCTGGAGGCCTCCCTCACACCTTCCTAAGCAAGGTCACCCCGTGCCTCCTACCACCACTGCAGCCCAGCGGCCATCCCCAGCCTTGGCCAGCCTAGACGGGAAGCCTTGCTCCTGAGACCTGCAGGTGTGTCCCGCAGTCCCGCGGTCTGCTTCCCCACCCTCTCCCCCGATCGAACCCAGGGGCACCTACCATTGAGCTACATTTCCAGGCCTATTTAGTCTGAGACGAGGTCTGGTATGGAACTTTCAATCCTTCCACCTCAGTTTCCCTAGTAGCTGGGCTTACAGGTGTGTGCCATAGCACCTGGCTCTGGAGCCTTTTCTGTGGAATGCTCCAGTGTCACGCCTGGAGCTAGCTAGAGTGGCACGGGAATGCTTACAGTCCCTGCAGCAGGGGGAGAGGCCTGGTACCTGGGCTTGCAGGCTTCCTCCCAAAGTGACTGCTAATGAGGTGCTTTTTTTCTCCCCCGTCCATCTTATGCCAAGTGCTGCCCTGTATATACTGGAACTCCTTCTAGTGCCAAACGGGGGGAGGGACTGGCTGCCAAAATAGACAGAATAGGCATCTCCTCCCTTTTTTCTGTCTCCTTTTGCTGTCATCTGCCAAGACCCTCTCCACCAAACACGCACGCGCGTGCACACACACACACCCAGGCTGCGTGGCTGTCCCTCACTTTGGAGTTTCTTCAACTCAGGGCCCTACCTCACTCCTCCGCAGTCTTGAGAGCAAAGGGTTGAAGACACTGAGGGCAGATGAGGGGAAGGCAGCCTGGGGCACCTGTAGAACCTTCTGTCAGACAGGATCACTTCAGGCCATAGTGGATGTGTGGTGGCACTGAGGATGGAAACCCACTCTGTACTGCCTGGGTGTTCAGACCCTAATCTCCCTGGGTCTAGACGCCCCAGTGTTGCAGGTCTTAATGCTTTGCCAGGAAAACATAAAGCAGGGCCTTCCTTGGCTATGCTAGGCTGGTAGGGCAGCCTCTTGCCCCCAGCCTGCCCAACCAAGGCACATCGTACACACAAGTCCCTAGGACACAGATGAGGTGACTGCTGGGGCTCAAAGGAAAGGAGGTTCAGCTCAGAAGTCCAGTCTAGGCTTGGGTCACAGTGCTGTACCCTGGCCTGTACTATTCTGGGCAGCAGGAACCCCGAGGCATTGATGTGATGCATGTCACACATGTGCAGGCCCTTGGTCCTGGCTGGCCAGGAACTCTCGTATGCTCCTTCCAGGGTAGATGTGAGCTTGGGGCCCAGAATCCCTCACCTCCATGGGAGCAGGATTCAAGCTCTCCAGCCCAGTGCAGGCTGCTGGCCCTCGGGTGATGCCCCAAAGCCCCTGCCAGGCTCACCTCCGGGCCTCTGTGAGTCCTCAGGAAAATGTCAGCTCTCTGGCCTTTGTCCTGAATCAGCGCTGACCGTGGTTCCTGTCCTTAGCTAGGAGGTCTCCAGGGGACACAGGATGAGACTTCCATAGAGAGAGATGTCTCAGTGGGTTCATGTATTTCCTGGTACTCATTAAATGTAGCTTTTTGCCATGGGACATGGTCAGGACCACACTATTCAGTCCTTGAACTGAAGCTGCTGACGTTAAGGAAGGGGAGGCAAACAAGGAGACTGAGATGTTCGTCTCAGGGAACTGTAGGAAGAGTGGCCAGAGAAGGCCTGAAAAAGTGACAGTTCAGCTGATACCTGAAGTTTTCAAATTTAAGGAAAAATAATTTCCTGGGGTGGTCTGCATGTGCAAAGGTCCTGAGGCAGCAGGGAACACAGGGCATTTGAGAACAGAGCAAGTCACGGTGACTTAAAACTTGAAGGGCAGTTCTTCAAGCCACTTCTCAGTTCACCTTATGGACCACACATTCTTTCCTAGTGTGGACCTCCTTCCTTCTTCTCTTAGTTTCTCCTGCATCCAGCCTCTTTAGCTGGTGGTAGCCCCATCCATATCCTAGTCCACAGGACCTCACTATCATCTGATAGACTTTGTAGTTTCAGGGTAAGGATCTGATTGGGTGAACTTGGACCAAGTACCCACCCCGGACCTTTGAAAGCTCCATGCCCTTCTGGAAGAAGGTGCTATACTGTCCTGTATCGTCCTGCCTTTCTCCATCACTTTGCGTGGTAGCCCCAACCCACATCCAGGGAGGCTGTATGTAGACTGTGTGCCATCTTTAAGAGACACATGGGGAAGGGCCATATGTCCCTGTGTCCTCGGCCCCTGTGTGCAGAGTGGCCCATGAAGCAGTTGGCATTCTGTTCCAGCACAGCCTTGAAGAGTAATTGGTGCTTTTAATTACTGGCTGGTCTGGCAGAAACAAGGGGAGGTGGGGCAGAAAAGAGTGAAATGCTCAGAGCATCAGCTCCTAAACTCAGCCAACCCTGCCCCACTTGTCCCAGACAGGCAGGGGAGGGGCTCTGAAGGTTCTTCTTGGAACCCCTAGGAGGCTGGCCTCCTGATAACAGCACTCAGAGCCCTGGACCAAGTATTTTGCCACCCCTTCCCCTTAATACAGCAGTGTCGGGGATGCTGACGGTGTCTGCTGGAGTGGGAGTTCTCGAAGAGGTCAAAGCCTGCGCCTGATTGAGCTGAGGTGTACTCTGGTGCTGGGGATGTCCGTTCTTGTCCTTCCACGGATGCTGTGGGTGATGGAAAGCTGTCCCACGTGCCCATCTCAGCCCTGCAGGAGCAGAGCTTTCTGAGCATCCTGTGGCTGGAGCTGGTCTATCTGCAGCTGGCTCCTGCCTCGTGTTGTGCTGGGAGCATGCGTCCTTGGGGTGCTGCTGTTCTGCCCCGCTGCCTGGGAATGGACCACTGACCCCTGAGAGGGCTGTTCTCAGTTTGAAAGGACTCCAGGGTGGTAGCAGCGCTTCACCCAAGGAATGGAGAAAACCCGGTGCTCATTTCACCCCTGGTGACAGGTGCGTGCAGGGCTCACAGGTGTGTTGGGGCAGCTGTGGTTTCTGCTGCTCACTGTCCATCCCTCCTTGCTGCCAGCAGGGCCCTAAGCTTACTGCTGTGCCCATCCCTTTGTCCACCCAGTCAGGACTCTGGACTGCACTCCATCCGCCTAACATCCTGTCTGCTGGTGAGGTGCGTTTGTGCCTTGTACAGGAAGAATTTTCCTTTTCTGTGAGGAGACGCCAGAACCCCAGCCTCCCCTCAGACCCTTGTTCCCAACACTTTTGTTCCATTTGTTCCATTCCGGGCCCTGACTGCCCTGACCCAGCCCCAGCCCACCCTGGCCCTTGCCCCTTCACCATCCCTGGCTCTGTGCCAAGCTCCTCCTCTGAGTGCTGCGCTCTGCTGAGAGACAAGGTGAAGGCCCAGGAGCAGCCATCTCCACCCCGCCCAGGAGGAGCGGCCGACACCGATGGGGTTCTCCCTTGAGAAGAGCAGCCTGCCGAGCCCCCAGGGGCTGGGCCTGTGTCCATCGTCCTGTGGTAGACACGCAGACCTGCCAAGGCTTGTTGCCCATGACATCCACATCCAAAACCCCCAAATGGATCCCTGTTTCAAGAATAATCAGGAAGGCAGATGGTGGCTGGAAGTAAACATATCACAGAAAAATCCCCTTTCCACGAGAGGGGCTCCGGCTGTCTCTGGCCCTGACCTCTTCTGCTGTGACAGAAGGTTCCAGATACTGTACTCAGCACCAAAGGCAAATTAAATATACCTGTGAAAAGATTTCTGCTGTCTCCAATTATTTATTTTCTTCGCCTCAGGAAGTGGGGTTTTTAATTATTAAATGTCATCAGAGTATAGCTGTACTGGAAAGCTTTGCTTCCCACCCTCCCTGAAACCACAGCGCACCGTAACTCACCAACTTGGGGCCACATCTCCTTCTGGGATGCAGGGGATCTGGGTGCAAGAGAGGAGATACACTGGCCAAGCAGCAGAGCCGCCTGTGAGTCAGTCTCAGCACAGCCAGCAAATGGTAGGCACCTGCTCGTCACCCCCACGCACCTGCCAGCCTCTCTGTGGGTAGGGGTGGGGTTGGCTACTGGACAATCAGTAGGATTGGCCCAGGCTGGCCACCCTTCTAGGAGAAGGCAACAGATGTTAGCATCCATGGGGCCTGCTCCCCTTTAAGACTTCAAGACATGAAAAATTGGGGTAAATGAAGGGTACACGATTAGATTTGGGCCCAAGCTGGGTTCTTGTGGGTCCTGAGACAGCTGCAAGTGCATGTCGGGCACAATGGCCCTACGCAGTGGGGGCTGCCAGGCTGGGGTGCCCAGGGACAGCTGGACGAGGTGCTGACAGGGGGCTCATTCCTCCATGAAGCCGTACCGCAGCTGCTGGGAGTGCAGCCAGCCTTGGGCTGTGCGGGAGGAGGCCGAGGGTGGCTGGGGCACAGGGCCCACCTAGAGGCAGGCAGGCGCTAGTCTCCAGACACCAGCCTAGTCTGAAGCTGACGGCCTCCGGGGGCCCTCTGCTTGCACTCTTGCTGTCTCTTCAGCCCTAGGGTATCTCTGGTCCCTCCAGCCTCTCCTTTTCACAGCTTTGCCTATTCTCCTACTTTTTCTCTGAAAGTCAAACTTGGAAGCGTCCCCCTGCCCCCTCCCTCCCCTCTGCACACAGCCCCTGACCCAGTGTGCCATGGTGTTGGGGCACAAACAACAGGATGACAGAGGCACACTGGGGACCCCACCTGGCCGACGGCCCCCACTCCTGTGCAGGACTTTCTTTCTCTGGCAGCTTAAGCTGGGTGTAGACATTTGTTTTCTACGTGGAGCATCTTCCTGGGATGACAGCTGCAATTCAAACGTTATTTTAAACTACTAAAGGAGGTTTGATGAAATGACAAGACTTATTCTGACAGGTAAAAAGCGGTGCCTCTGGTGATAATGAAACATTCCACTTCAGCGATGTCCTTTGTTTTTTGTTTTTGTTTTTAATTGAGGTGAAACTCAAAAGGCATAAAATTAACCATTATTAATGGCATGATTCGGTGGCACTTAGCCCATTCTTAGTGTTACACATCCATCACCTCTGTGAAGTTCCGAAACATCATCACCCTAAAAGAAAATCCCACACCTGTCCAACAGTCACTCTCCCTTCCTCCCGGAAACCAATAATCTACTTTCTTCCCCGATGGATTTGCCTCTTCTGGACATTTCCCATAAATGGAATGATGCCTGAGTTTGTCTTGCTCCAGTTACCTTGATGTTTTTGAGGTTCATGCGTGTCATAGCGTATGCTGAGATTTTGTTCTTCTTGACAGGTGAGAATACCTCAGAGCACTGTTGATTAAACTCAGGCTGAAATTGGGAGGCCCTCAGCCATCCCCACCATCCGCCTCCTTAGCCTGAGCTCTGCCTGGTGACCTGTTCTCAAGCCAGCTCTGACAGTGTCCAGGAAGGCAGGTCTAGCAAGAAACTCGATCCAAAGGGACTCGAGCTCCCAACAGACCCTTCTGCTGGCCTCGCCCACCCTGGGCAAAGCCAGAGAGGGAGCCCAGAGCTGAGCTGAGCCCCTAAAGCTGGATGCTAGAACAAGAGGCCCCTTTCTGCTCTGCACAATGCCCCATTGTGCCCTTCTGTGCTGAGGACAATAAAGCCCCAGCAAGGGGAAGCCAAAGGACAAAGGGGCCTTTGTGAAGACTGTCCCCACCTGAAAAAGGAGCACCCAGGGTCACACCTTATGGTAGAGCTGTCCTTCAGTCCCATGCACAGCACCAGAATCCCGAAAGACCCAGGAAGCTCCGCAGGCATCAACTACACTCTGCAAATAGCTGTGCTGGCCTGTCCCCATGCCTGGAACCTGGACAGCGGGAAGGGGAGGTATATAGGTCAAGGTTTCTTTCTATTGGAAGGACCTGGCGGAAAGGCAGTGGCTGCAGCCGGTTGCTCCTCCAAGACCCAAGTCTTCCAGACCTGGACACACTCTGGATTGAGGCGATGAACACAGGACATGGAAGGTGTTTGCGCCACTCACTGGCATCATTTGCCACGGCCACACTTTACGGCTCATGGAAAAGGAAATTAAACGTTTTTTAAGGGGAAAAAAAAATCACACCAAGATGTATATATATACATATATATATATATATATATATATGTATATATATACTATTATCCCAGCAACAGCGGGAGACTGGGGGCTGCGGAGAGGGCTCAGAAGTTGCTGGTCTGGCTTAGAGCTGAGGGATCCAAGGTCCTCAGCCAGCCCCTGCCCTCAGGAGGCTCAGTACAGGTGTGTGAAGGCATAAACAAGCACCAAGCCTGGATCTTTTGACTGTGCAAGTGTTGGTGACTCTGGTTCAAACAGCAGGAACAAAATTAAGAGCCTGAGGACAAAATTCAAAATCAAAAGTCAAAATAAGCATTTGGGCTGAGTACTGGTGGCACATGCCTAAAATTTCAGCTGCTAGGGAGGCTGAAGCAGGAAGATGGTTAGTTTGAGGTCAGCCTAGAATAACTTAGCAAGACCCCATCTCAGAAATGAAAAACTAGGGGATGTAGCTCAGTGATAACTACTTCCCTAGCATTGGAGCAACATCCAATCCCACTTTTTAAAAAAATCAAAATTTGCACAAAGGGATAGGATATTTAACATGCAAAGAGTTCTCTTTTGGCCGGGGATTTAGCTCAGTGGCACCGAGCCCACCTAAGTGCAAGGTCGTGAGTTCGATCCCCGGTACCGAAAAAAAGAAAACAAAAGTTCTCTCACACAAACAAAGAAAAACCCACACCTTTAGTGATTTCTTCCAAGCAGTTTGCCCAGAAACTCTGACCTGTACACACCTTCTTCCTCTGAGGTGTGCCTTCGATCCACCCTCTCCAGTGACCCTTCAGAGCAGGGGTGGAGCGGCCCCTCTTCAGAAGGCAGAGCCTAGGGGTGCCGCTTTGGGTTCGCTGCGGTTATTAGTCACTAAGTTCTTTCCTCTGAATCCGGTGACCCTCAGAGGTCACAGCTTGCAGGCCGGCGCCAGAGCTGCGGAGCCCTAGCGGACTAGGGTGGATGTGCAGAGACCCCGCTGGGATTTCGGGTTAGGAAGCCCGAGGATGTACCCAAACTTCGGGCTAGCTCTGCTGGTCACCAGCATCCTCTGCGGAGTAGGAATGCGAGCTCGGTGAGTGGGGCGAGGAAGCCCAGCCCCAGGCTGGAACTTCCCCTGCGCTGGGCGCGCAGAAGGCGTCCCAAGACTTCCCCTCTGCACCCGGTTCCCCAGGCCAACGCCCGCAGCAGAAAGAAGGAATGGGAATTCAGGAGGGTAACTGCCCGCCCACATTCCCCGCAGCAGGGTCCGCCCCGGAGGCCAGCTGGGGGCGCGCACGGCCCGCATGTGGGCGGGGCCTGGTTCTTCGGTGGGCGTGGCTTCCCTGCACCGCCCTCCCTCGCGCTTGCGCTTAGAGCTCTCGGCAATGGCTGCGTCCGAGGGGACTCTGAGGAAGCGGAAAGTCGCGGACGTGGACCCGGGACCTGGGTCGCCGCCCTTGCCGGAGCCCTGTGCCGCAGCCTGCCCGACCCGTCTGCGCGTGGGCACCTTCTGGCTGACCAGGATCGTGCTCTTGAAGGCCCTCGCTTTAGTTTACTGTGAGTGCACGGTGAGCCCTGGGCTGCTGCCGGTGTCCCGCTATCCGGCGCGCCTGGACCCCTACCCTAGTTCCTCTGCGCCTCCCGACCCCTGCCCAGGTCCTCCGGGACCCCTCTTTGCCCCACCCCTCCCTGCACCTCCCTTCTTAGCTCCTCCCCGTCCCAGACCCCTGTCCGCCCCCAGCCACGGTCCGATGTCCCTAGCGCAGTCCTGCGACCCAAGCGGGGACTGACCGCATGGGCTGGGGGAGGACATGCGTTCTTAGCAAGTGACTGACCTGGTTACCGTCACCTTGTGTCACCCGTCCCCCGCAGCTCCAGTGTCCGGCCGAGTTAGGCAGCAGGTGTAGATGTATCCCATGTCCAACCTCTAGCGACAGAGGTAACTGTGAAGGGAAGCAAAGGATTCCTTTCGCCAGGCTTCGCAGGCCTCACATCCCACTGGTGCATCCCGCACCCGCCTGTCCCGACCTACGCGCGTCCGAGGAATCTTGAGGGAAAGTAGAGCTGAGGTGATTGGTTTGTGGCCAGACCAGGGCTTCTTTAATGTTGTCTACCCAGCCGCTCACCCCGCAATTCGAAGTGATTCAGATCGGCAGAGAAAGTTCATCGGGACATGAGGGAGCTGCTAGCTGCCACCACTTCCCCATTAGGTGAAACCTGAGCCTTAGGAATCTGGTCAGGTCCAGATTTGACCTGTTGGATGAGAGCCCTCCTGCCTATCTCAAGACCAGCCAGCCTGTAAGTGCAGAGAGCTGAGGCACAGAACCTCTGGATATCTGGTTTGGTGGGGCCAGCTGCCCATACCAGCTCCCTCCTACCCCACACCCAAAGCACAGAATTTCGGTTTGAGAGAGAATGACCCTATAAGCAGGTGGACACTGATGGACACAGCCCAGCCTTTTGGTAAGGAAGACCAAATGGAGATTCCCAAATGAACACTGAGGCCAGGAGAGGACTTTGCCCGGCTAAGCTGGGGCTTCCACAGTGGGCAATGAGCATCTCCCCTTCCTTTCTTCATCCACCTCCCTCACGTGTAGTGGGGGAAAGCTGAGTTTCTGCAGCCTTTGGGCAGCATCCGTGTGGCATTCTTGTGGAGAAGCCAGGTCCATTTCGGGTTTGTGTAATCAGTCGGCCACCTCCTGGTGCAAAGTACCACGGTCCTTACTGAGTGATCACTGTGGGGTTGCCGGTGTAGACTGTTGTAAAGTAGCTGTACATGGTGTTTATTTATCCTTCACAGCGCCAAGGAGTCATTCTGAAAGTTTTCACTGTCACAGGGTGGAGCCAAGATAGAAAGAGTCTAGAGACTTTAGCAGAACTTGACAGGGATGCCTCCAGCAGCTTTGCTTTACATGCAGCCAGGATCAAAGGCTCCTACAAATCTGACAGTGCTGTCTTTGGTCTCCACAGGGGTTTAGTTTGGTTCATAAGGAATAGTTTTAAGCCACTGGGTCAGGCAGATATCCAGCGTATGACATATGCCTTTCTTTTCTATCTTGCAAGGCTAAAACTGATCACTGGAGTAGAATCAGATTTCCAGTTTCCCATCTTCTTGGGTTACGGTTTTGTGCTTGGGTGGCCCCAGGCAAGTCCTACTACATGTACCTCTTTCTGGAAGGTTCTGGATCTCCTGTTCCTCAGGGTCACAGGTTTTTCCAAGGTGACAACTCTCCAGACATTTCACACAGACATTAGATTTTCTAGTTCATGGTACCAGCCCCTTTCCATGTACCCTTTCTGTTTCTGCATAAAGTTCTGGGATGTGTCGATGCTAGGGGTGAACTCTACACAAGTTAGGGTGTGCATGAGCTGGGTGTTCTGGGGATGGCCTCAGAAGCAATGCCATGGGAGCCGAGGTGTGCTAGTACTGGCGAGCAGCTTCCCAACAGGTCCTACCCAAGCCATTTGGGACAAAGACCTGTCTGCCACTTTGATATGTGGACCCAACACATACTGTGTTGATGTAGTCTGCTGCATGCAGGCTTGCTGGGCTTCCAAGGACATGCTAGCCTGGTAGCACCACCATTGCCCATGTGAATGCCCCCGTGGATGGCAGGATCCCCAAGCCGATACCAGGGTAGTGGCCCTGGGGTCCAGAACCTGGCTTCACCCTACCATTTGTTCACCAGCACCACCTCCAGCACCTAGGTATTCTGAGCACTAATTCACACATGGGCAGTGCTGTTTTCAGGTCTTGAGGAGCATCTGAAAGGCTGAATTCTAGGCAGGAAAGCTATGTGAGTACTGGCAGCCTGAGCTGTGAGATCTGGGTGCTGTGTTTGTGGCATATATCAGAACTGTGGTGTCCTTGAGTACAATGAGGAGTCAGAGCCTGGGCACGGGCCCTGCACTTGGTGTTACCACGCAGTGAAGTGGGTCCAAGGCACTATTGTCCCCTGATGTTCGTTGCATTAACGAACATGACTTATATTCTCTGAGGAAGAGGGAGGCTAGCAGAGACCGCCCTGGAGCCTCCCAGGGACATGTCAGAAGGGTGGTACAGCTGCCTTCTCACCAGCCCAGCCACACAGTTAGCCGAGCATGGGGTATTTTGAAAAGTTAAACTGCAGTATCAAACCCTTTTTGCAGTGGGTCTAGGTGCAAGACTATTTTAACCTTGCAGTGAGTGGAGGTACAGGAAATGACCAGTCTTGGTGTCTCTTTGATATCCCTCTCTTAAGCCAAAAGTTTAGCACCTGGGCCACTGGGGCTGGACTCCTGGAGTCTCTGAGCGCCATTTATTAAGGCCACCACGGAAAAAGCTGGATTTACTGATGCAGCAGAAGATAAGTATGGCCTGGAGGGGCCACTGAGAAGGTCCTGGGGCGGAGGTCTGGCTCCATATTGTGTTGGGTGTTTCTGGGTAGAATTGGGGCTCGTTATCGAGGAGAGGTTCACATGACGTGTGGGTTACCAGGAGAAACATTGGGAGTTCTGGAAGTAGGAAGAGGATATTTCCTTTGAAGTTCAGGCAGTGTGAAATGTTTTTCCAATGATGTTGCATCTGAAGATGGAACCATGAGGTGCTGGTCAGGGGAGGACAGGCTGGTGATTGCCTACCGCAGTCACCACTGGCTGGCTTCTTCTGTGGGCACCACATCTGTAGTCAGTTTGGAGACCTTCAGCAGTGTTCGGTCTGTCTGAGCTCACTTCACCTTGTTGGGGCCAGGAGACACCAGTCATGAGCTGGGTGGGCCCTGTCGGGGTGTGCTACGGGTCGGTTTGTTTTCCAGGGCTTAGGGCTTCAGGGATGCTTCCCTATTGACTCTGGAGGTTAACAAATGTCTGTGCCACTTGGAACAGAGGCTCCTTCCTGGGGGAAGACCCTGGATGGCAAGGACCAGCCAGTGCACACTTGGTAGCATTTGGCGGAGGGCTATTCCTGCCTGCCCCTGTAACTTTCACTTCTAGAGCAGTGACTAGAACCTCCAGGAAGCATCACCCCCCAGGTGTGGTCCTTAGACCAAGAATCTTGGATCATCAGGAGAAACTAAGAATCTGACATCTAAATGATGTCAGAGCTGGTTTTGGTCCAGACACTGTAGTACTTAATTTAGCTGGCTTGTGACACAGGCCATTGGTATGGGTGTTCTTGTGTATACCCTGTGCAATTACAGTGTGTCCCTTTACATAGGTACTGACTCCCCTGACGGGTGAGGTGAATTGAGCCAGCATGTTGCAAAGATATAGGAAGTTAGGCCCTTCATTAGGGGAGCACAGGCTGGCCTGAGGCCTAGCAGCTCAGATGAGTGGGGAAAGAACCGAGGAGGTAAACACTCGCACCCATTGGACTTTGCTGAACTCTCAGCTGTTCTTTGGACAATTTGACAAAAACAAAATGAAATTAAAAAGAATCCTTAGCCGAGCGTGGTGGCGCATGCCTGTAATCCCAGCCAGCACTCGGGAGGCCGAGGCAGGAGGATCGCTGTGAGTTTGAGACCAGCCTGGGCTACATAGTGAGTTCCAGGTCAGTATGTAGTGAGACCCTGTCTCAAAAAACAAACAATAAAAAAAGAATCCTTGACACGTTGCCCTGTTTGAGTTTGTGCTAAACATCCAGTGGTTCTGAGTGCTCATAGGAATTGAGTGCTTTGCCTCTTGTCTGGGCACCTGTGGACAGAGCCCCACCCAGGGACGAGGCCGTTCTCCGGGCCGTGTTCCCCTCCACCTACAAAAGGCCTGGTGCACAGTGAGACCATGCATACACTCATACAACCTGACTTGTCTTCCTTCAGAGGAAGCTGACACTGTCCATCTGTGTGTGGCACTTGGCTTCCCAAAGCCGCCCTCTATGCTGGGGAGATCTGCTCCGTGTCCGTGCTCCCCTCATGAGCAGAGCAGTTCCGGACTGTCACCCGGACCCCAGAGGCAAAGCCAGTGGAGCCGAGTGTTCATGGGACAGTTCCTTCCACCCTGTCTGTGCTGCTTTCCTCAAGATCCACCTCCACGCAGCAGAGCTGCCTCACACATCCTAGTGAGCTGGCTCTGCTCGTCCCCATCTGCATGCACGCCCTTGTCCCCTGATATCCCGGTTGGTTGTCTTTCTGTCTTTTTGTTAGTTGGCAGACATTAGAGTTTATGTTTGTGTGCTGTGTAGTTCTATGAATCTGATCAGCAAATGGAATTAAAAATCCTCGCGCCGCGGGCGACGTCCTCCTCGCAGGCCCCCATGGGGTGGTCGGTCCCTATGTCCTGCCTTTCCAAGTGCCATGTGAGTAGAAACTTGCAGGGTACAGGCACTGGGGTCTCTGCTCACACTTAGCAAAATGCATTTTAGATCTGTCTGTGTCATTCCGAATCCGTACGTCCCGCGCTGGGTGAGTGCCTGAGAGGACCGCTGCAGGGTCACAGGCCCACAAACCCGGTCGGCTGTACGAGATGCTGCTGATCTCACCCGGAGCGACTGTGCCCTTTCGTGTTCCCTCCAGCAATGAATTCCTGTGGCTTGGACTGCATTGGCGCATTTGGTATTGTCAGGTGTTTTTGGATTTTGGCTG